CGCTACAAGCACTCTCCGGGTGGTTTACAATTTTTAATTATACAGGCTACACATTGCCCCCCCAGCAAGCTGGGTACTCATTTTACCAACCTCGGAAGGATGGAAGGCTGAGTCAACCTTGAGCCGGCTACCTGGGATTTGAACCCCAGGTCGTGAGCACAGTTTTAGCTTGCAGTACAGCGTTTTAACCACTGCGCCTGCTTATTTAACTTATATGCAGAATACATCATGCGAAAGGCCGGACTGGAGACATCCCAAGCTGGAATTAAGATTGCCGGAAGAAATATCAACAACCTCTGATATGCAAATGATACCACGCTGATGGCAGAAAGTGAGAAGGGATTAAGGAACCTTGTAATTAGGGTGAAAGAGGAGAGTGCAAAAAATGGTCTGAAGCTCAACATTAAAAATAAACTAAGATCATGACCACTGGTCCCATCACCTCCTGGCAAATAGAAGAGGAAGAGAGGGAGGCAGTGACAGATTTCACTTTCTTGGGCTCCATGATCGCTGCAGATGGTGACAGCAGCCATGAAATTAAAAGGCACCTGCTTCTTGGGAGGAAAGCGATAACAAACCTCTACAGCATCTTAAAAAGCAGAGACATCACCTTGCCGACAAAAGTCCGAATAGTCAAAGCTATGGTTTTTCCTGTTGTGATGTACGGAAGTGAGAGCTGGACCATAAAGAAAGCTGACCGCCAAAGAATTTATGCTTTTGAATTGTGGTGTTGGAGGAGGCTCTTGAGAGTCCCCTGGACTGCAAGGAGAACAAACCTATCAATTCTAAAGGAAATCAACCCTGAGTGCTCACTGGAAGGACAGCTCCTGAAGTTGAGGCTCCAGTACTTTGGCCATCTCATGAGAAGAGAAGACTCCCTGGAAAAGACCCTGATGTTAGGAAAGTGTGAGGGCAAGAGGAGAAGGGGACGACAGAGGATGAGATGGTTGGACAGTGTCATCAAAGCAACCAACATGAATTTGACACAACACCGGGAGGCAGTGGAAGACAGGACGGCCTGGCATGCTCTGGTCCATGGGGTCATGAACAGTCAGACATGACTAAATGACTAAACAACAAGCAAATGACCCTTGCAGTTCCTTTGAAAAGTCCTATGATTACAACCTTGTAAAGTATCTGTGTGCTGACTATGTTACCCTTCAGTTATGGATTCTGTCCAGCTGAACTTCTTAGGGGTCATTGTATTATAGGTCTCACAAGGTCAAGGTGCACATGGCCATCTAGGTGACTGGGTAATCACTCAATAAAAAGGAAGAACTGTGCCACTTTTTGCTTGATTTTGCTTTTGTCCTAATACTTTCAGAATCTGTGATTGTTTGATGCTATTGAGTGTGACCAAAGCAAACACAGTAAAAGTTCATTTTTTGGACTATGTATCCCACAGTTGTGATTCCTGGACCAAACTGATTTCATCTGCAATAAGAGTCACAGGACTTCACTTATATACCATCTCATAGCGAGCCATCATGTTGACTAGTTTCATGGATGCTTCCCTGCTGATATCTTTACAGCTAAAGAGTTTCAAACACCAGTTCACCAACATCAGACACAGATACAGATAAATGATGTTGCCAGTTGATTTACTACCAATTCAAACTCACTGTCTCCAGAATGTAATACAGTAATGTCATTTGTTTCTCAGATAGAGAAGTAGAACCATAATCTCCTTCTAAATAATATTCTACACCATAAAAGCCCAAGACATCAGCAGGTTACAGTAAACCAACAGCACAGTTTTTTCCTCACTAACTCATTGGCTGAGAAGTATTCTCATTATTTGGTTTTCTATGGATTTTTTTTTTTTGAAACAGCTTCATTGCAGCAGCTTTTGTAATGTTAACATGATCTCTTACTAGACTGATCTGCAGAATCCTCCGTGAAATCCCCTGTTGTGCAAAAGGTCAGAAAGCATGAGTGACAGAGAAACCTGAGAAACCAAAGGTGGAAGAACACGAGTCAGAGCTTAGAGGAAATGTGATCTTCCTTCTCATTTGCATTTCTCAACTTGATTTTTTAATGGGTGTTGAATGTGAGGCGGAACTGAACTTTTCTGTAGCTAGAATCCTAGCAATGTTCACCCAAAAGAAGTCACAACATGCCACAGGTAACTGTGGCTAACAGATAAGATGCTGGGGCACATCTTGATTCTGTGCCTGCTCAGACACCCAATTGTGTAAAGGAGATGTGTCTAGCACTTCATCAACTAACTGGTGTTAGCCACAGCATGCTATGCAAATCTTACATGAACACCAATAAGATTCCTGCCAATGTTTAAGTTTTTTAAATACTTTAGGTAGCCCTCTTATACTGAGTCAGCCTGTTGGTCCATCTAGCCCACAATAGTCTGCCTGGGCAATGGATATTCAATGCTCTCACCATGAAATGTGTCTTTTTAACAAAAACCAAATCCACCATCTACTGCCATGCACATACAAAGCACGTGGGCAGCCTCTGGGATTTGGTTCTCCCTTGGTGATCCTTTGTGATAATCTGAATTGTCTTTCTATTACAATGGTTTATAGATTAGTTTTAAAACTATATTAACACAATGTTTGCAGCTTTTAGAACTTGCAGCTTAACAATAGAGTCCTAAGTGTCCCAAATATCCAAAGGCCAGTTAAGTTTATGCCAGGACAGCTGAAGCTAAGCTGAATCCAAACATCTCCTAGCCAAGGGATGTTGAAAACTGCTAGGACTACCTTGACCTGTCCTAAATTAGTACCAACAGTGCTGAGAGTGCCTGTTTCTTGAGATGGAGGAGGTCTGAATCTGACATTACCTCTGCTGGCCCCATTTTTCACTCTTCTGCTAACAGATCTGAGCCAGGAGAACAATTCTACCAGCAGATCTCTTGAGATCAAATGAGAGAAGGGGTGTTCTGCCAGCAGAAAGGCATTCTTGAACATAGATGTGGTTTTTGCCTATTCCTTATAGTGCATTTTCAATTTAGGACTGCACTGAAATTTTATGTAAGTGCATAATTGTCTGTCTGCTCTCTCTCTCTCTCTCTCTCTCTCTCTCTCTCACACACACACACACACACACACACAC